GAGAGAGAGAGAGAGAGAGAGAGAGAGAGAGAGAACAGACAGAAACATAAAGACCACACAGACACACACACATACAGAGACAGAAGACAGAAAGACAAGCATAGATTCAGAAGACAGAAACAGAAGCATAGATTCACCAGACAGCCTTCAGGCAGGAACAGATTCAAACTCACGCAACAGACAGATGGAAGATAGAAGGCACAGCAAACATGAAGTAGAGAACACAAATTTGGACTCAAATTTCATCTGAAAGGTGTCCAAGGACTCAAACCCCTGTGCTTTCAGGGCAGACCCTTAGCCCTGGGTTTGCATTTCTGAGCTTTCCCCTCCCTTTAGAGCTGGGATGTCCTTTAACTTATCGTGATCATGACGGCACAGTTTGAACCCCAGAACACATCAGCAAAACCTGTTCCTCATTATAATCATGAAAAATCTATTTCTTAGCTAGAATCTCTAAAGAGACTTGTGTAATACTGGTACCTCTTTTTCCCAGCCTATGGAGAAGTGCATGGTTGTATGCAGAGAACTGTCGTGAACAATCAGGAAACCATCTATGAAGACATGGCTAAACAGTGTATATATGCTAGCTATATTTCTAGGTGTTTTTTTCCAAAGTGGCTTCTCTAGTTTACACTCCCACGAGCACTGTATAATAGTGCCCCTTTTCTAACATTCATACCAGAATTATTTACTTTGGTAACGGACATTCTGACTGGGGTGAAATGGAATCTTAAAAAGAGATTTAACCTTCATCTCTCCAATACCTATTTATACTGGATTTTAGCAACATAACTTGAGAAGTACTTGCGCTAACTACATACATAGCAGAATCAGTAGATATGACCTCTAGGCAACTACATTGTAAACTCTAAATGAAACGTGCGAATACCCTGATTCTTACCACATACCAAAATTACACAAACATGAAATAAACAGATAGTTAAATAGCAACAGTACATTAAGAATAAAAGCACCCGCCATTAGAAAAACCCAAGAAGCAGATTAATTCATCACAGAATTCTGTCAAACTCACACAATAACTGAGACTGATGCTACTTAAAATACTCCTCGATGGAAAAAAAATGAAGCTTGGTCGTTTCAGACTCTTTATGAAGCCAGAAATAGCTGATGCCATGCCAGAAAAAAATAAAATAAAATTCCAGACCTCTGTGGTAATATTATTACTATTATCACCATTGTTATTTGACATTTCACATGAAATACCTTTTGTAGTATACACTCTGATTTCCCATTCCCTGCAGTCCTAGTTCATACTTTCAACTAATGTCTCTCCCTCCCTTCATTTTGTTTCGTGACCCATCAAATTTAACTAGGTCCATCTGGTGAGCCTGGAGAGCTCAACCGAGAGCCAACTAAAGACAATGATTCCCCTTTTCCTAAAATCTAACTATTGCCACAACCTAAAGGGTGGGACCCCATGACTCTGCCCCCTTCTGAGACTGATTCTGGCTAGAGCTGGTTTTGAGTGCAGCTAGAACACGTATGTGCAGTTGCAATGGGTTACTGATTACAATAGTTGTGTGGAGTCTGGAGAATTCCATACCAATGCCCATTTCACCTTTTCTTATTAGCATTTCCTTTCCCCTTACTCTTCATCAATATTTCCAAAGCCATAGATGGGATGGTGTAACAGACGTGTTTAAAGTGTACCGATATACATCCCTTATTTTCTGCATCTTGGACAGCCTTACGTTTCTGCATTCATCACTGAGATTTCTTTTCCTCATTTTAAAAACTCTTTTGATTCTTTGTGAATTTCATTCACATCGTGCAATTCCACTCATCTCCTCCTCCCTTCATACCTGGCCCCTACGCCTATCCTTGCAACCTCGTCCACAAGAACAAAACAAAACAAAACAAAACACCCTCTCACTGTGGAAGCTGAATTTTCAAATGCAAGTTTCTATGTTTTATATAAAAGTATCTCTAGCATGCTTTCCAAAAAGACCCGAGCATCAGAATTTAGGGTGTTTACTGTCTTTTGCTGTGTGTTATTTAGCCCAGAAGACTGGTATCCCAAAGCAGGATAACTTGTAAATGAAGGGTTCAAAACCTAGGGTTGGAGTCAAATACCTGGTTGCAGTGCCTATCAGATCCAATTCTGGTCTAGGCTGGCAAGCACCGGAGGAATCCCCCTGTGCAGAGCGGGTCCAGGGCAGCTGCAGCTCTGTGGAAGACAGCTTGAGATGGATTCTAGGGGCGGTTCCTGAAAGGGAGAGTGGACTCAGCTGCCTGATCAGATGATATTGGGAGGCTGGGTGGACGTGGGGCTGGGGCGTTGTTAACCGCTGGGAGGAATTGGGAAGCTAATTAAGTAAAAGAGCTTGCAGTCCGAAGGTTTAGAAAGAACGCCTAGCCGGAAACCGATGTCTATTGGGCGGGTCCAGAAGGAGTCGCTCCGACCAACCAGACTACAGTGACAGGAAATTCCGCGATTCCCAGAAGGATTCCGGGTACTGCGGACTCCGGAAGTGGAAGGTGAAGGATGCGGGCTGCCTATTTCGGGGACGTGAAACTCCCCTAAACGGTGCTCAGCCTCCTAGGGGAGTTAGCTGTCAGCCGTGCAGCGGCGGGAAGTGCATCCCGACAGCCCTGGAACTTCCCAGGTCAGAGGAGATGGCAGCTGCTCTTAACGATGCTGCTCTCACAATTCTGTAGTGGGTATCTTACCATTGCCTGGAAGTTTGAGATGCTATGAACGGGGGTTTATCGTGATTTTTTCCACTCATTTTACAGTTGCTAGAATATTCAGTCATAAACTATGTCATAAAATAATCTAGCAGAACATGTGAGCTACCTGTTTGCAAACAGAGTTCTCTTTGCCATTGTGGCAATTACTGAACTCCTGGAATTTTAATTCATCAGTGCTTTCTAACTCTCCTGTTTTACCACTTGCTTACTCAAGACAGTGTCCCTTTCCCCTGGAGACTAGACATCCCCCTGATTTAGGTTTAACTAAATCAGAAAATATACTTTACCGAGTGCCACAGTTATACCTGTAAATATTAACATTTACTAAGGAAACTTTTTCCTGATCATTAATTTTCTATTTTAGGTGTATGCAGTTTGAGATATAAACATAGCATTATAAATATGTCTTTATATGCTTAGTTCTTATTTTACATCTTATGTCCAGGCAAGCCCAGTATTGCTGTGAGAGTATATCACGTCACTATTTTTATAATTAGTAAGCTCAATATGGATTAAACAAAATTAGAGAGCATCTTTTGAATAATTATGGTCACTCACCTGTATCAGAAAAATGTCTTCTTGGTTCAAGAAAAGCACTCTGACCCTGGGCATCTGGGCAGCTGTTGTTTTTTATTTCCTGGTTTGCTGACATTGCGCTCTGTGACTGTGAATTTCTTGGAGGAGTGGGACTGCCTAGAGCCTGGTCTCAGGGCTTTTTACTGAGACTTCCTGCTACAGAGATGCAGCCAGCTGGTGAAGGTCAATCTTCCTAGCTCTTCCTCAGGTTTTCTGGGAAAACGACTCTGCATGTGTGTGTGAGCTGTGTGTGAATGAGTCTCTCATTTCAGAATAATCTTTTCTCCTATGGAGGTGTTACACTCCTCCGCCAGGTCTTCTCACCTGTGAAGCAGAGCAAAGAGCATTGGACGGTGAAGAGTGAGGAGATGGTAGTAAAGAATCCAGTATGTTAGAGGCATGGAGGGGGGTAGGGAAGGGCTCAAGGGATATTAATTAGAAACAGGATATTTAACTGGTTTTGCCAGGTTTTATTTCATTCAAAATGTTTCTAGAAAATTCCATTGAAAATAATATCAGAATATTTCTACTGTAGGTATTAGAAGACTCTATGTAAGTAAGGATTAATACTCAGAGGCGAGTACGGTCTTACCTGACTTTGCATGTGATATCCCACTCCCATTTACATCACTGAACATGTCTTCATACCATATTAAATATGTTCATCATTATACCTTTAATGTACTGTTTCGTTAGAACAATTGGTGCCTCTTGGGTATTCTGCTTTTAGAATTTTGGAGCATTTTGAAGTTTCTTCATGTTCTCTATCTTTTAGGGTTAATTTCTCCGTTTTATAAAGTACTGCAGGCAAGTTTCTGATAAGATTTGCTTAATATCGTTGCAGTGTATTAAATTCCATCTATGCTGTCTTCCCATTGATATTCCTGTTGTCTCTCTTCATGTCAACTCTCAATGTTTTACACTGCTGTAATTTTAGTATATTTTGAAATCACTCCTCTGTTTGTTTCTCCTTTCATAATTTTTAAATTTTTTGTGGTTTCTCACAATCTTAGAAATTTAGGACAATTTTCTCCATTTATATTAAAAAATGCTTGCAGGATTTGGGTCTTTAGAACCTTACACACATCCTTTTCTATTCCTTCACATGTTTGAATAAGAATATGCTAGCAGTGAGTCAGGATTCACTTGTCATTTAGGTATTTTGCTGTTTCCTGTCTATTATTGATGTCAGTGTTCCCAATTTTTGTGGAAGACACTTTTTCAACATTGATTTTTACTATGATTGAAGACTTGGGGGCTTTATTTGTTTGTTTGTGTGTGTTTTTTTTAGATGCATTCTCTATGTATACCTGTCTGTTCTGGAACTCTCTGTGTAGACCAGGCTTGCCTTGATTTCAAAGATCCTCTTGCCACAACCTCTCAAGTGCTGGAATGAAAGGCTTCCACTACCAGAACAGGTTGACTTATTTTTATTTGACTGTGATGGGGAATGTGAGCATCTTATGCTGTTGTATGGATGATTATCTGGAGGCCTGTTAGGCATTACTTGTTTTCTGTGCTGTTCATAGTCATCTTTCTTACTAATGTTCTCTCTGATTTCCAGCATCACTGAATGGTCAATGCTTAAGCTTCCCTGTATCAAAATTTTATTTGCTTTTTACAGTTCTGTCATTGCTTGCTTCATGTATTTGAGGCATTTTTTGCCTCTAATTATAATCCTCAGTGCTACTTGAATGGATGACCTATGTTATTTCATAGTTTTCTTCAAGTGAACTTTATGCTCCATGAATTTTAAGAGTCCATTTTTTTTTCTGGGTACAATGATGATATTCATGGTTATTTTCTTTTATCACTCAAAATATATATTTCCATGCTTTCTTGCCTACAGGAATGTTGACAAGATCTTTAGTATCATTTTGGGTTGGGTTTTTTTTTTTTATATAGTCTGAGAATGTCTTTAACAGAGTTGTATTAATTTTAGATTTGTATTTTCTATAACTTGATATGCAATGTCAAGAAGAGTTTTGGTCTTTGCTGATGAAACAGAAACTCAGAGAGTAGCAACAGGAAGAATGGATGTTTCTCCTGTAAATGCACCACAGGTCAGCGTTGTGTCAAACATTTCTTTGCAAATTGTTTGTGTTATTGAAACTGTGTAAGCCTTTATTTCTCTTCCTCTGGCAATGAATTCTAGCTTTAATCTATGGTTGTCTGATGAGGCACAAGGGCTTATTTCCATTTTCTTGTATCTCTTGAAGCTTTCTTTGTGACCAACTACGTGGTCAATTTTGTAGAATGTTCTTTGAGTGGCTGAGAAGAAGATATATTCTTTTGTGTTTGGGTGAGTTGTCATGTAGATATCTGTTATGCCCATTTGATTCATAACATGTTAATTTCAGTATTTCTCTCTTTGTTCTCTCTTGATGACCTGTCCATTGGTGAGAGTTGGTTAGTGATGTACCCCACTATCAATATAGTGCATTTCACTATGTGATTTAAGCTATAGTAGTGTTTCTTTTTCAAATGTGAGTGCTCTGGCATTGGGGGTATAGATGTTCATTAATGACACATCTCCTTAGTGGATTTTTTGTTTGGTGCATATGAAGTATCTTTCCCCATCTTTTTTGAATGAATTTAGGTTAAAGTCTATTTTATTAGATAATAGAACGGCTATTTCAGCTTGCTTCTTGGGTCTATTTGCTGAGAAAAACTTTATAGACCCCTTACTTTGAGGTAATGTCTATCTTTGTTGCTGACATGTATTACTTGTATGTAGCAGAATAATGGATCCTGGTTTTGCATCCATTCTGTTAGCCTGTGTCTTTTAGTGAGGAATTGATTCCATTGATGTTGAGAGATATTAATGACCAATGATTATTACTTTCTGTTATTTTGATGTTGTTGGTGGTAGTGCATATATGCACTCCTGTCTGTGTGTTGGAGTGGGTTGGCCTTTTTATCTATTGTAATGCTAAGTGTGGGGCCCAGGACCTGGTTGTCCCAGAGTGGACAAAATCAACAAGTAGACCTCGACTATTTCTGATTGGTAAATAAAGATGCCAACAGCCAATAGCTGAGCATAAGAGTCATAAGTGTGGTTGAGGTTTCCCAGGTTTGGGAATCAGAGGAGAACCATGAGGAGAAGGTGCAGGAGTAGGAAGGAGAAGCTACCATGGGTTAGGAGTCAAGAGAAGGTTGTCCTAATGTCTGGCCCATTGGGGTTAAGAGTACCTCAGATGAAACATAATAAGGAGTACGTAATAACTCAGGATTATCAATGGGAATGTAGATTCTAACTTTATAGAAGGTATGCAGCTGTCCAGCTCTTATACTGTTTAAAGCTTATTGCAAATATAATGGCAGTGTGTGTTTTTTATCCAGAACTAAATGATCTAAGGTGGGCTAGAAACTCCTGGTCAAGAGTAAAGTATTTCTACAACATCCTTGGGTTGGAGTTTTTCTTCTTGTATTTTCTGTTGGTCTGGATTTGTGAATAGCTACTGTTGTTGGTTTTGTCATGGAACATTTTGTTTTCTCCATCTATGATAGTTAAACTTTTGCTTTGCATAGTAGTCTTTCCTGACTTCTCTGGATTCTAAGAATCTTTAAGACATCTGCCCAGGCCCCTCTTGCTTTTAGAATCTCTGTTGAGAGGTCTGGTATAATTCAAATAGGTCTGCCTTTATATATTATTTGGTCCTTTTCCCTTGTCATTGAATATTATTTCTTTGTTCTGTACATTTAGTGTTTTAATCATTATGTGGCAGGTATATTTTCTTTTCTGGTCGAATCCATTTGGTGTTCTATAAGCTTGTATGTTTATAGGCATCTCTTTCTTTAGGTTAGGAAAAGTTTCTTCTATGATTTTGGTGAACATATTTTCTAGTCCTTGAAGCTGGGAGTATTCTGTTTCATCTATCCCTATTATTTTTAGGTTTAGTCTTTTCATAGTGTCTCAGATTTCATGGGTGTTTTATAACTAAATTATTCTTAATATAAATATAAACAATGAAATAATATGGCAGCTGTATTTATTTACTTTATGCTAATCACCCATAACTTCACAATGAAACCAAGATTTATTTAAAACTGCACTTCAGTAGCTGAACATATACATGATGCACCTTAACCTTCTGTGCTAATCTGACTACCTCCAAATCCATTCCATGATACTTGCATATTTTAATTGATCTGGCTCTTCAGATTCCTTCTTCAAGGCTCCAATTCCTCTATTCTCCTGGCCCTCTGAATCCTCTTCTTGTTTTCTCTGGATAGTGGACATCCCACTCTATTCGCTATTCTGCCCATCCATTGGGTAATCAGCATTTATGGATTCTGAAGGCAGAATCAATTTATTGATTTGTTGAAGGCAGAGAACAAATGGCAAGAACTGTTTATAGATAGGAGAGTCTTGGCATAAGCATTACAATGCCATGTCTGGATTGAAACAAGATATGAGGGAAAAGAAATCCACATTTGTATAACCCTAGGATAAACTTTACACAGCATACAAAACATTATGCTTACAATGTTTTGTGTCAGTAACTTCATGGATTTAACATTTTCTTGGATTTGTGTGCCAATATCTTCAATCATATCTTCTACACCTGAGAATCTCTCTTTCATCTCTTATATTTTGTTGGTGATGATTGTGTTTGTAGTTGCTGTTCTAGTTTTTCGGCTTCCATCTCAAGTTTCTATTTTCTTTATTGCCTCTATTTACTTTTTCATATCTTGAGCAGTTTTATTTATTTCCTTTATCTGTTTGATTTTAGTTTCCTGTATTTGTTTAAGGGATTTATTCATTTCCTCTTTAAAGGGCTCTATCATCTTTATGAGATTGGATTTAAGGTAAATTCAGTTTGGCTGTGTAAGGATATCCAGGGCTTCCTATAGTAGGATACATGGCCTCTGGTGGTCCCATACTGCCCTGGCTCTTGTTGATAGTTTTCTCACCCTGGCCTTTAGTCATCTGTTTGTTCTTGGTTCTGGATGTTCCTGATGATGGCCAGATGCCTTGTTAGAGGCAGACTCAGTTTCGGACTGAACAATCAATAGATCTCAAGGAACAGCACACTGCTCACTTCTGCTGGCTCTGACTCAGATGGAACTGAATATTCCCTGAGGCCCAGCAGGCCTTCCTGGAAGGCATACAGAGCCATGAGCATGATGGTCAAGGGAAAGTACAGCTCACTACTTCTGGCTGTGACCCAGGCGGAGCTAGCAGGCAGAGGATTGGCGAGGAGACATACATCCAACTTTGGTGTTTCTGGGACCCATCAATCCTCTTCAAGAAGACAGACAAAGCCATGGACTTGACAGTGTAGGTCAGGGTACAAAGCACAGCTTATTGCTGCTGGGTGTGCCCCAAGTTGACCTGGCAGGTAAGGGATTAGAGGGCAGTATCTGACTTGTGTATTCCTGGGCCTAGCAGGCCTTTTCGAGAAGGCAGGCAGAATTGTGGGCCGGATGATGGAGTCAGGAGCATGGAGCTCACTTCTTGATTCAAATTTTTAATTGAGCCAATATCATGAGTTATAAGATAATTGAAAATTAATAGTTAGTATAATTCTCACATACTTAATATTAATTTCGAATACAGAAAATCTTTTTGCTTCATTTGAATGCACTGTCACCTAGGATATACATATTTTCTCATCATGCTATAGTGAAACACCATATGTAATTTCTGAAATCGTTATTCATCTTTATTGGTTGCTTCTACTTTTAGAAATATTTAGATAATATTAATGCTCTCTATTGCTGAATTTTCTGTTTGCTTCATAGGTGTCAAAATATTCTCAAAAAAATAACTTCACAAAGTATTTGATTCTGTTTCTTGTTTGGAATGTTGTTTGTATGCACCGAAGTTTCCCCACTTACTGTTAAGAACAAAACCTTTTTTACTTTTTAATTCACCTATGAGTTCTATATGTTCTATAAAAGTTGCAGAATTGTGCCTAAGGCTCAGCATTCCAACTGAGGATGTTATAATAGAGTCAGGTGAGACCCATCTGCAGACAGGATTGATTCAGTGTCCATTTTTGAGCAAAGTTGACAGACTTTGGAATTAGGAAGCACACTTTTGCTCATTATAACTTTTCTGTCTGAGAAGTGAGTCTGTAATCCTGTTTGATTTCAAGACAGCCTTCATAAAGATACATTCCTGCATCTAGGCCTCAGGTGTATATCTTTTATTTCTATGAGTTTGCTAATTTTGAGACTATTACTGTCATCCTGTTTTCATGAAAATAGGAAATACAATATAGAGTATGATTATTCTGGAAAGTATCTTTTATTAAAATTAACTTTCACTTGTATTTTATGTGTGTGGTGGGTATATTTGGCTGAATGTATGTTTGAGTGCTTTTTGTGCTTCCTGCCTCTAGAGTTTAGAAGAGAGCATTGGATTCCATGGAACTGGAGTGGTGCTATCTGGGTGCTAGAAACCAAATTATGATCCTCTAGAAGGGCAGCCAGTGCTCTTAACTGCTGAAAACTCTCTGTAACACCTATAGAAAACTTGTCTTCCAGTTGTGCCTACAGGGAACTTGGGAGGCAGAGACAGGTGGATCTTTGAGTTCAAAGTGAGCCTGGTCTAAAACAGAGCAAGTTCCAGGACAACTAGGACTACACAGAGCAATCCTGATTTTCGTTTCCAAAAAAACACACACACACATACACACAGAAAGAAAAGGAAAGGGAAGGGAAGAGAAGGGGAAGGAAGGGGAGGGGAGGAGAGGGGAGGGGAGGGGAGGGAAGGAAAGAAAGCTTGTCTTTGAATAATGTTCATATTCTACCTTCATCACAAAAGCGTCTTTAATTTCTTTGATCTCCTTGACCAAGGAATGAATTTTGTTCAGCAGCTTGTAGTAAATGAATATGTTTCTATTACAGGGTCTGTTGACACTCCATGTGGCTTTGAACTTATTCCCATGAAGAGTAGAAATTTCTGGACTCTGCTCAGAAGACCATGTACATGGATGTAGTGTTGGAGAATTATAGCAATCTAGTCTTGTGGGTAAAGATGCTTTTCCTATAGAATGCCTGATACATCCTTTGTATTTGCCTGCTTTGTATATATGTAAACTCCCAGAACTGTCCAGAGACTCCCAGACAAAAGGGGAATTTTGGAAATAAAACAACTTTTTCCTGGTACTTTCTTTACATTTTTTATGTTTTCTGCAAGAGTAATCAATACTATATACTGCCTAATCTTCCCAGCCCAATTACCTAGTTTTAATGAAAATGTCAAAGTTCAAAGAAAATTGAATATTCAGAGCAAGAAATTGGTTTAAAGTATACTTAGAGTAATTGGAATATTTTTATTTCATTAGATTTTTTTTAAAGAAAGTTTTAAGTTAGAGGAAGCTGTTACTTGTGAACATGTTTTTGGTCTTATTTATTTAGTTTTTGAGATGTGGTGTTTATATTAATCTTGGCACAGCATGGTTTTAATCATCACACTATGGAGGCTGACACAAGAGGATATGGTGAGTTCCATGCCAGCCTAGGTTACATAATGAGTTCCTAGCTAACTAAGGCTGTGCAATGTGACTGGGTCTCAGAAACATAAACAACATGGAAACATAGAAACTTCCTTCTTATGATCCTTCAGAGCTTCTTACTCAGATTTCCTTATCGCTGGATCACTTTATTTGTCTGACCTTCTGCATGGTGTGCAGTTTAGGTGAGAATGAAAAGTTTATTATTGTTCTTTCAGCTGGAGTGGAAGATCTTCTGTGCTTCTGTTTAATTATAGCGAATCACAGAAGGCCTATTCCTACGAATTACTAGTTCACTTTTATTACTTTTTCTTTCTTTCTTTTTTTTTTTTAGTTTTTGTAAGGAAACATGTTACTGAATATGTTACTCATGCATTTTTCCCTGTATTTTAATTGTGCTAATTTTCTAGAGAACTATCACATGTGTGTTTAAAAGAAAACCCTGAACCACAACTCAAAGCATATTGACCATCAGCACATGAATATCTACGAGAAATCTTATGAATGTAATAAGCTTGGCAAAATGATTTATGAATCCTCCCACTGTACAACTTTTTTTTTTTTTAACACGAGTAATAGTTCAGGAACCCGCAACAAGTACAGACTTGCAAACCACAGACATGCCTTTATTGAATCCTCAAACATAACCAGTTGTAAATATGGGAGCACTGGAGAATATAATATAAATATAAACACTATGTAAACAATTTAAATTTCTGTCCATCATTTGTCAAAATTACAAATCTGTACTGAAAAGAAAGAATGCAAAAATACATAGAATGATAAATCTTTTGAATCTCAACTCACACTAAAAGAAATCCATAGTGGAAAGAAATCACAGCCATGCTAGAAATGTGAAAAATTCTTTATGACATACTCAAAGCTCAGTAAACATAAAAGATCTCATGCAGAAGTGAAACCCTCTGAATATCCAAAATGTAGTAAATTCTTTCTGTATTTGTCACAACTCAAAGTATATAGCAATAGCCATTATGGAGGAAAAACTACAAATCTACAGAATGTGGTAAGTGCTTTTATGATCCAACAGATTTTAAAAGACATTATGGAACCCATATTGGAGAGAAAACATACCAATTTACCAATTATGACAAGTCCTTCACTTGCCACTTAGATATTAGAAAACACTAGAAAATTCATAGAGGAGAGAGCACTTATGAATATAAGAAATGTAGTAAGTTTTTTATACAATGTAATAATTGTGGCAAATCCATTTCCAATGCCTTATGTGCTAAAACATTGAAATTTCATGCTGTAGAGAAACATCAAGAGTGTATTAAATGCAATGATCCTTTATTCAGAAAGTTAAACTGAAAACACACTTTGGTCTCTACTACAGTGTAAGGACCAATATTAGCCTTCTCATCCTTTCCTAAAATGTATACCTTCAAAAGGTGGTTTTGGGACAAATATGTGATGAAGCCATGATACTTTCTAGGAAAGGAATTCTCAGAAGGATTGTATTTTCCATTTCAATTTTTAAATCTTATTAACCCCCAGAACTAGTTGAGGAATAGTATAATCTAACATTAAAATGTTTCATCTATTAATTGTACTGCAGTGTAATATGAAAATATCTTTTAATTTGAAGGTTTCATTAAAAAATTGAAAGGAGTCTGGGAGAGATGGTTCAACTGTTATGAGCTCATGTTGCTCTTTTAGTACAATACATAATTACCTAGATTTTATTTAAAAAGTTAAAAAAATGACAAAGCAAACAAATGATATTTTTTTTCCAAGATTGAGTAGTCAAATTTACAGAGTATTATATGGCTGTGAAGGAGCTTGGAGCGGCTTTTTATACACGCCATCATCTACAGTATCTACCTAGATCCAACTCACTCTGTGCTACCACCATTAATGCCAACACAATGGGATCATTACGCAGTCGCTTTTCACTAGCCTCCATTTCTTAAAGGACCAATCACTTCTCAGGAACCCCACAACCTTCTAACACACAACCCTTTAGGAAGCACTATCAAATGCATCACAGAAGTGTTCCTTTTCTTTTCTTTTCTTTTCTTTCTTTTCATTTTTCTCTTTCCTTCTCTTTCATTCTTCTTTTTTTTTGAAAATTTTGAGAATTGCCTTTAATCATTTTTTAAATGTTTTGTGGAATTTTCTGGTGAAGTCATTTGGTTCTGGCTTTTTCTTTTTTATTGGATATTTTATTTATTTACATTCCAATGTTATCCCCTTTTCTGGTTTCTGTTCCAGAACTCTCCTATGGCATCCTCCTCCCCATTTCTATGAGGGTACTCCCCTACCCATCCACACATTCCCACTTCCCTGTCTTGGCATTACCCTATACTGAGGCATTGAGCCTTCACAGGACCAAGGGCCTGTCCTCCCATTGATGCCAGATAAGGCCATCCTCTGTTACATATGGAGCTGGAGCCATGCAAAGCCCTCCAGCTCCATCATTAGCTCTTTCTCTAACTCTTCCATTAGGGTCCCCATGCTCATTCTAATGGTTGCGTGCCAGCATCCCTATCTGTGTTTATAAGGCTCTGGCATGGCTGCGCATGAGACAGCTATATCAGGCTCCTGTTAGAAACCACTTCTTGGCACCCGAGATAGTGTCTGGGTTTGGTGTCTGCATATTGGATGGGTCCCCAGATGGGCAGTCTCTGGATGGCCTTTTCTCCAGTCTCTATTCCACACTCTGTCTCCCCACCCCCCATATTTCCTTTAGACAGGACCAATTCTGGGTGAAAAGTTTGTAGATGAGTGGTTGACCCCATTCCCCAATCGGGGGCCTTGCCTAAATTCTGGATATGGTCTTACAGGTTCTTCCTCCCCTTTGTTGGGCATTTCAGCTAATCTCATCTCTGTTGTATCCTGGGAGGCTCTTACTTTCCTGGCATCCAACTTTCCATCCAACTCCTTGTCCCTGAACCACCAACCCAATCCCCTTCCCGGCACTGAATACTCCTCCCCTTCTGTCTTGTCCTTTCTTCTGGGAAGACTGCTAGCTAGTCTGCTCCCCTGTAGACAGCATATCCCGAACCAGCTGAGAAGATCCACTGCACTCAGACTATTTGGTAAGAACCCTCTGGAAGCCCTACATCTGCGTCTAGGAGCACAGTGGACTCAGGACCTATCACCACCTAAAACCCCACCCCAGCCACCAAAACTCTCTCCACTTGTGCCCGATCCTTTCCGCTGGGCAGACTGCTAGGTAGTCTGTCCCCTGGAGACACCATATCCTGAGCCATCCCAGAAGATCTACTGCACTTCGAACATTTGACTGTTAGCTACCTTACTCCCTTGGAGACATCATATCCTGAGACATTTCAGAAGATCCACTGCATTCAGGGTAACTGACACTACAGCCTGAGACATCCAAGGAGATCTGCTACATACAGGGTAGCTGGCATTCCAGGAGATGTGTTACACACAAGGTAACTGAGCAACTGATTGCCAGCTTGTCTTTTACGCAGGGTATAAATAACCCACTAAAAGAATTATAGGAGAACACAATTAAACAGGTGAAGGAATTGAATAAAGACCTAAAAATGGAAGGAGAAACAATAAGGAAAACAATGGAGGCAGACCTGGAAAGGGAAAACCTAGGAAAGAGGTCAGGAATTACAGATGTACCACCAAGAGAATACAAGATATATAAGAGAGAATCTCGGGTGTAGAAGATACCTTAGACGAGATTGACGCAACTATCAAAGAAAATTCAAAACATACAAAACTCCTAACCCAAAGCATCCAGGAAATTCTGGACACAATGAGAAGAACAAGTCTAAGAATAATCAGAATAGAGGAGAATGAAGATTCTCAGCTCAAAGGACCTGCAAATGTCTTCAAGAAAAGCATAGAAGAACATTTCCCCAACCTAAAGAAAGAGATGACCATAAAGGTACAAGAAGCATGTAGAACACCAAATAAATGGGAGCAGAAAAGAAAATCCCCTCATCCTATAATAATTGAAACACTAAACCAATCAAAGAACAAAGAAAGAATATTAAAAGCTGCAAGGGAACAGGGCCAAGTAACATACAAAGGTAGACCTATCAGAATTACACCAGACTTCTCAACAGAGACTATAAAAGACAGAAGAGCCTGGTCAGAGGTCATGCAGATTCTAAGAGAACACAAATGCCAGCTTAGACTATTATACCCAGCAAAATTCTCAATCAACATAGATGGAGAAAACAAAATATTGCAGGACAAAAATCAAATTCAAACAGTATCTATCTACCAATCCAGCCTTACAGAAGATCCTAGATGGAAAACTCCAACACAAGGTACCTACACCAAGGAAAAGACAAGGTATTAAGCATCTCACAACAAAGCCAAAAGGAGAGAACCATAAGCAAATAAGGCTACATACAAAAACAAGCATATCAGGAACCAAAACTCATCTGTCTATAATATCTCTCAATACTAATAGAGTCAACTCACTCATAAAATGACATAAGCTAACAGACTGGATACACAAACAAGATCCAGCATTTTGCTGCATGCAAGAAACACACCTCAATTACAAAGACAGTCACTATCTGAGAGTAAAAGAATAGAAAAAGGATTTTCAAGCAAATGGTCCCAGGAAACAAGCTGGAGTTACCATTCTAATATCAAACAAGATAGACTTTCAGCCAAAAGTTATCAAGCATGACAAGG